TTAACACCCCCCCCCCTCCCCCCCCCCAGCCCCGGGGTGGACTCCACCATCAGCGCCATCGCCCGCGCTCACCGTGAGACCTTCCTATACGCTCATGACAAGCTGGCCAATCCCCACATGCCACCTCAGCAGCAGCAGAATAACCACACCCACCACCACAACGGGGAGGCAGAGCTTTGGGGCTCCAACCGCTGCCCCAACGGTTACCATGCCAACGGTCTCAACACCATCTATCACCATAACAACAACCTGGGCACAGGGCGCTACCCTCCGCCAGACAACAGCTGCAACGGCAAGCATCATCACCATGGAAACGGGAGGCGGAGCCTACACAACTGTAATCTGATTGGAGGAGACGGGCTCTGCGATCATGTGACCCAGGGGCAGAACTGTCCAATGAAGAACCGCAAAGAGATAGTGCTGGTAAGAACCAATCAAAGGGTTTTATTTCAATTAATGAGGAAGTACTTTTACTGTGAATCTGTAACTACAGGAAGTACTTTTACTTTGTTGTACTGGTACATTTACTCATAAACATAAACAGAGAAATTCAAACGCTGACACACCTGCTGTCACTGTATCTGAGCTCTGATTGGATGATCACTGCTGAGGGGAGGGATTTATCCAACTGTCACCTGATTGGTTGCTCCACTCTGCAGGCCTGTCCAATGAACATGCAGCCTCACGCCGACCCCTTGAAGACCCCCCAGGAGATCTGGGAGGATTTCTCTCTGTCTTTCACCCCTGCCGTCAGAGAGGTGGTGGAGTTCGCCAAACATATCCCAGGGTTCAGTGCTCTGTCCCAGAACGACCAGGTCACCCTGCTGAAGGCGGGAACCTTCGAGGTGAGACACTGACACCTGACGTGACATCACAGACACACTGTACCCTTCTAACCAGTTAAACCTTCATCCTTCACTGTTCATCTGTTAATTACGTCAATGTTTAATAATTAATAATAAAATAATTGAGTCTGAACATGAATTATTTATTTTAAATTTCTTGTTGTCATCAAAAATCAAACAGTCAGAACGACAAATGGCAAAATAAGGCGAATATAAACTGTTGCTAATAAATACCCACAAAAATCAACAATCTTTGTTTTTATATGTTTATTTAGTATCTTTAAATTTAAATTTGATTTCAATCAGAAATAAAATTAAGGTTAAAAAAGGAGCAGATGCAGCACCTGGTGGCCGTTGGAGGTACTGCAGCTGACTGGCCTCCTCCTCCTCCTCCTCTCCCTGCAGGTGCTGATGGTGCGCTTTACATCACTGTTTAATGTGAAGGAGCAGACGGTGACATTCCTCTCTGGCGCCACCTACAGCCTGGAGGAGCTGCAGGCGATGGGGATGAGCGAGCTGCTGGGAGGCATGTTCGACTTCAGCCTCAAACTGGCGGCACTGGAGCTGAACGCCGAGGAACTGGGACTGTTCACCGCCGTGGTGCTGGTGTCTGCAGGTGAGGACGGAGGGAGGACGGAGAGACGATGGAGAGATGAAGGAGGGATGATATTATTATGGATTTCTATCTGAAATGTACGAAACCTTTTGTCTGCAATGAGCTGATGTCGTCGAGACATCGGCCTGGGGGGTCCTAGGGTTAGGGAACAGGTCCAGAGTCGAGTCCCGCTGTTTTACCGCCACGTTTCTGTTCCTCTGTTGTTCCATGTAAACGACGTCACGTCCTGAACAGGGTTCCTCATGTTCTCCTCTTCCTCTTCCTCTTCCTCTTCCTCAGACCGCTCCGGAATCGAGAACGTGGCGTCGGTGGAGCAGCTGCAGGAGAACCTGATCCGAGCGCTGCGGTCGCTGGTCAGCAAGTCGGCCGTCACCCCCGGCAACAACCATCACAACCTGGACTCGCCCCGCTTCACCAAACTGCTGCTGAAGCTGCCCGACCTGCGGACGCTCAACAACATGCACTCTGAGAAGCTACTGTCGTTCCGCATCGACGCCTGAGGACGTCACTGATGATGTCGTCAACGATGTCACCGGTCACTTCCTGTT